ATTCAGGGAAAGAGCCAATGGAAGTAACACTTAATAAATCAATTTTCCAATAACTGATTAAATGCAAAAGCTTTAAGTCTTTGGAAGAGAAGGAGGAAGATTAGAAAGGAGAAAATGTTTGGGGTTGTTTATGCAATGCCTGCAGAGGACAGAAGCGGCTGTTGGAGCCCCTGGAGCTAGAGTTACAGACAGTTGTTAGCTGCCATGTGGGTGCTGGGATTCAAATCTGGGTCTTCTGCAAGAACAGCCAGTATTCTTAACCGCTGAGCCATCTCTCCAGCCCCGAGAAAATGTTTTGTAAAAATGGAAGCTTCTAATAGAAGGAAGGAAAAGAGGAGCAGACCGGTCACAGAGGGAGCAGAAGAGATGCAAGTGTAATGGAATGAGACAGCAGGCTTCCTTCCTTTGCAGAGGAAATTATGCTCTGAAATGAAACAAAATTTGGCTTTTTATGAAAAAAGACCAAGAAAGGATGTGGTCCCTATCAAAGGAGTTTTTGGCTCCCCTGAATTGGAGCCAAAAACTGGATGGGAGTAATGAAAGGGCCAGAAATTCCCTGTGTGCATGATCTTAGTAAAATTTCAAGGAAAGAAAATGTTCTTGTTTTGTCTCATTAACTACTGTGAAAAAAAAGCAATTTCTGTTTCCTATTTGATTCATATCAAGTTAGTGGTTTTAAAAGTCTGATTCTTAAAGAAATAGAGTGATATGTTAAATAACAGAGACACATATCTGAGGGTAGACCACTTGCTTGGTAACATGTTCGAGACTCTGGAATCAATTCCCACTACTGCAATAATACAAAATAAAATAATAAATTTAAGCATGGAAACGAAGTCTAACAGGTCAAATAAAGATATAAGAATGTCTAGGTGGCTTGAATTAAAGAAAATGGCAGAGAGAGAGAGAGAGAGAGAGAGAGAGAGAGAGAGAGAGAGAGAGATTTGGTTACTTCATTGAGAATTTGAAGTTATATGAAGGATTCTAGCCTTGCTATGAGACAGTGGAGAATTACTATAACTTTCTAGAAGAAGAAAGAACCAATAAAAGAACTAATATTTTTTTGAAGAATTCATTTAATTGAAGAGTTAAAAATATGAACACATTCCAAAGTTTTATATAAAACATGAGGTGACTGAAAACACTCATGCTTTAAATAAACTCAACTTAGGACTGCAAGATGGCTAAATTAGTAAAAGTGCTTACCACCAAGATTAATCACTTGAGTTCAATCCCCAGGACCCACATGGTGGATGGAGAGAACCAACTCCCCACAAGTTGTCTTCTGACCTCTACACATGCACTATGGCATATGTGCGCGCACACACACACACACACAAACACACACACACATGCACAAATGCTAAAAAACAAATCAATTTCATTAAAAATCTCTTGATTTCTGACACAAATAGTTATTGAAGAGCTAAGTGGTGTCATGTTTTTTTATCTGGGCTTTAAGACAAGATCTTTGTCCTCAGTGTTGAATGAGCTATGTAAGTTATTATGTGAAATAATATAGGCAGGTTCAGGAAATGAAAAGTGACTGGGATTTCCTGAATGATAAGGTGAGAGTTGCATGGCTGGAAATGAGTCATGAAAATAATTCTAGAAGTCTGCATTAAAAAATTATAATCAATTAGCTACATTACTATCAGTATATATACTGATCTGTGTGAAATTATGATCTTTTATTTTTGTTTATGGTCAATAATTTGTAAGTATTTTTAAAGTAGAATCTTATTTTCTTTCCTAGTATGCAGTAATTTTAGAAAAGCCCCTTTGATCTTTAAGTGTGCAGACAAGTTTTTTCTTAAAAAAAGAATGTTTTATTGTATGATTTGCATAATACATGGAATGGTAGACATTTTAAAGATATAGGTCTAATTCGAATTTTGATTTCTTTAGAGGTGCTATTTTTCCCCACTTGAGCTTATAAATTTAAAACAGAAAACTAAGTAAAGAAATATACTTAAAAACTATACTAATTAATAACAATATAGAAATCAGATACCTGAACATAATTAGAACAGTTCTCAATACAATTATCCTTTTGAAAATTATACTTTTTCCTTTCTTCAAACCAACTTCTGATAGCAGTTCTTGCAGTAAATTCATTTTCAGGGCCAACCCACATGTTTTCACCAACACCAGCAAATACAGGATGGACCTTATGGACTTCACCTAAGTGCACATTACGCTGAAACACACATTTTTTCCCCCATGCTCTAGCAGTTCGTGATAAAGCTACATCCCAAGTCTGAAAAATAAACACACAAAAAGCAAAGAACACAAAATAATTAAAGATAATTTTTTGTGCTCCAATCTGTTTCCTTGGCACTTACTATTTTAGGGAAACATATTCTGAAATTATTTATGTGTATTTTCTTTGGAATATCCTTGGAGGAAAAGTTTTTTTTCAAGTACTCATAAGTATAATGACTATTTCCTGAGATAGAAGACCATGAATATATCTGTCCAAAATATTCAAATGATAGATAAAACAAATTATTATGCTATGCTTATAGTCAGTCTTTTTTTAGAATGATATAATATGCTTACATAGTCTGATTAGAATATATGCTCTTCATCTCTTGCTTTTTATGCCTAGTAATATAATGTTAAAATATTTTCTAGTCACTGGGCATGGTGGTGCATGCCTGTAGTCCCAGCACTTGAGAGGCAGAGGCAGGCGGATCTCTGTGAGCTCAAGGCCAGCCTGGTCTACATAGTGAGTTCCAGGACATCTCAGGCTATAGGGAGACCCTGTCTCAAAAAGACCAAAAAATAAATAAATACTTTTTTCTAGTGAATAACTATTTATTGAGCACTCATTATATTCAAAATATTGTTTTCAGATATAAAATGAGTATGCATTTTTGTATTCAAGTTGCTTGCTATTAGATATGATCCTATAAACACATGTATATACCTTGAATTTACATTGGTAAATTTATAAAAGAGTCACATATAAATTTCAATGCAAGTTCTCAGAGATGTTAGAAAATCTGTAAACATCGAGGCTGGAGAGATAGCTCATGGTGTAAGAGCATTGGCTACTTTTGCAAATGACTCAATTTGGTTCCCAGCACCCATGTTGGGCATCTCACAGCTGCCTTGTAACTCCAGCTCCAGAGGATCTGATGTCCACTTCTGGCTTCCAAGGGTACCTGCGTGTATGTTCTCTCTCTCTCTTTCTCTCTCTCTCTCTCTCTCTCTCTCTCTCTCTCTCTCTCATTCTTTGTCTCTTGCCCTTTCTCATAAATAAAAATAAAATAAATATGAAAATGAAAATCTGCAAACTTAGAATCACTATCCACAAACATGCAGAGATATTTGCTTCTATTAACATTTACAGGATCAAGTTTATGTTAAGGACAGCAAAACAACACAATCAGCAGGAAAATCAGCAGAATAGTTGTTGAACCAAAATGCTAAGCACTTAATAAATTAAGCCTTTAGAATATCCCTCCACTATTTTCTCCCCAAAGTTATCTACTACTAAAAAACAAAACAAAACAAAACAAAAATGTGGGGCTTGAGAGATGGCTCATTGGTTAAGAGCAAGTACTGTTCTTGCAGAGGACCTGAGTTTGGTTCCCAGCACCTATGTCAGGCAGCTTACAAGTGCCTGTAACTCCAGCTTTGGCAGATCTGATGCCTTTGTCATCTGTGTGCACACACACTTACTTGCACGTACCCCCAATACACATGATTTAAAAAATCCTGTGTATACATTTATCCATCTCTGTATACACACATAAGCACACATTGAAATATAACTTTTGTTATTATAAATGGACACCTTTCCTTCACATATTATGATCTTACCATCCGAAACTTACATTTTCCATGTAGAGACTGTTACATATTAATACACCTAGATGTACTGACTTTTTACAAATTCTACACAGTGTTATATAGCAAGGAAAACCTATAAGTACTATAAACATTCTACCACAATGGCATTTGGACAGTTTCCAATGTCTTTCAATGTCTTTTCACTGTCTTCTTGCTAACTTACTATGGATATAGTTCACACACCTCATCATACACCAATCATTATTTTCATTTATGTATGATCTCATTTAATATTGGTAAAAACCATGTAAGTTATGCATCATTATTACTATCATGTACACCTAACAATAGAGATAGATTTTAAGAGTGTTGGGAAGTTGGGTGTGGTGGCGTATACCTTTAATCCCAGCACTCAGGAGGCAAAAGCAGGTGGATCTCTGTGAGTTCAAGGCCAGCCTGGTCTACATAGTGAGTTCCAGGTAAGCTGGGACTACAGGGAGACACTGTCTCAAAAGGAAACCAAAGCAAAACAAAACAAAACAAAATTCAATGCCTCTACTAGACACTTCAGGCTAGCAAATAAAAAATCCAGTGCCAGGAATGGGCTACCTCTTTTGGAATAGTTGGCCATGGGGCTCTCATAGACCCTCAAACATTACTGGTTATTGCTATTGCTCTTTACCTGCTAGAACTCAACCATAAGACCCTATTGCTGAAAACACTACATATTTGAGTTGTAGAACATGGAAGAATCAAGCTCGTACTGACCTGGAAGCTTCATCCCTACTGACCAGCTTTCACAGTGCTGAAAGGTGTTATGTATACTACAGGAAGACAAAAGTAATCATTAGTCTTACCCAGCTGTGAATCCTGTGAGTCCATTTGTGTGATAGTAGCACAAATGTAATGGGAGTAACCAAAGACTTTGTGATGGATTTCAGGCCCACTCCACAAGATGGAACCCATGGGTAAAGAACCTGTAGATGGACAGGTTGTAGGCCCTGCGGAAGATCCTACTACTATTATTTTGTTAAATGGACATAGTTTTAAACGGACTCTGAATGACATTGTTATGCCCATAGGTTACAGCATCTCTGAACCCTCATTAGAAACTTCTTTTTTTACAGTAGATGGAGATTAACACAGACACACCATTGGTCATCATGCAGAGAATAACAAACTATGGAGTGCTCAGCCTTAAATGGAACATCTACATCATATCCCTCCTTCAGAGTCTCAGGGGTCATTATGGAAGAGAGGGTAGAAAGATTGTAAAAGCCAGGGGTAGTGGATGACTACAAAGAAACAGTGTTTTCCAGACACTGTAGGGCAACTGCACATATGAACCTACAGCAGTTGTGACAGCATGCACAAGACCTGTGCAAGCCCAAGCCATGCAAAATCCCAGGTTGGAGGGGGGAGGTGAGTACAAAGCCCCACCCTAGCTGAGGAGCTATTGGTGATTGATAGATGCTGGAGCAGGAGTCAGTTTTCTTTAAGGATGTGACTTCTGGGGTACGTTGCCCAGCCTCCAGGGTATGGACCCACATCCAAAGGTATTACTGGAACACAAAGTAGAGTCAATGGTCTTTCCAAAAAAAAAAAAAAAAAAAAACAAGTCAGGCTGGCTTCAAACTCAGTCTCCCCATCCTGTCCTGCTTCTGTAGACTTAGTGCTTAGATTGTAGGTGTAAGCCACCATAACTGGCTTTTTGTAAACAGCCTACTTTAAAGAGAATTATAGGGGTTAGGGAGAAAGCTCAGTTTGTGAAGTGCTTGCCTGAGTACCTGAGTTTGGATACCCCCACCACCTATATTTAAAAAAATAGGCTTGATTCAGTATTGCCTAATCCTAGCACTGAAGAAGCAAGGGATTGCTGGGCCTTGCTAGCTGCTATCCTAGCTGAAAACAAGTTGAGCTACAGGTTCAGTGAGAGACTTGTTTCAGAGAATAAGGCAGGGAGTTAAAGATGACACCTGACAAGTTCTTTTGACATTTAAATTCACTTATAAAAGGTCTTATAAGTGAATATATTCAATTCTAGCCTATTTACATTATCAGCTTAAAAATTCCTTCCCACAAACATTTTAACAGCTTTCTGTATTCATTAAGTTCTGGTTTTAAATTGTCCTTTATATCATTTGGAGCAATCAGTTTTTTTGTTTTGTTTTGTTTTTTAAAAAAATATTTTACTTACTATTGGTATTTTATGTGTATGCACGTACTTAAGTGCACCCATGTCATGCAACGAATGCTGGTAGAGGACAGAAGAGGCTGTCAGATCCCCTGGAAATGGAGTTATGGACAGTTGTTAGCTGCTATGTGTGTGCTGGGATTCGAACCCAGGTCTTCTGCAAGAACAGTGTTCTTAACTGCTGAGCCACCTCTCCAGCCCGTTTTGTTTTTTTTACTTTAGAACAAGATTATTTTTATTTTGAGCAAAATGTATTCTATGGCATTGGAGAGATGGCTCATGGGTAGGAGGTCTTGTTGCTCTTTGAGGGGACTCTTGCTTCTTCCAAGAACAAACCTGGAGGACTTGGCTGTAAATATCAGAGTAATCCAACAGTGTGGCACTGGTATACAAGAAGACATACAGACTGTGGAATAGTATTGAGAGCACAGATAGACGTTCTTGCATGAACAGGAGCAAATGATTTTTGTCCAGTCTTCCAGGAACATTTAATGGACCAGGAGTAGTATTTTCAACAAAGGATTGGGAAAACTTATCTATATACAAAAGAATGGTATTAGACCCTTCTCTTATACCATATTTCCAAATTAACCACTAATGGGTCAAAGACTGTTGTAGTTTGTCTGTCCATTGCTGTGACAAAATACTTTAACCAATACCAACTTGGGAACATGAAAGGATTTATTTAGCTTATATCTCCTGAGTCACAATTATCAGGGAGCCCAGGTTAGGAACTTGGGGCAGGAAACTGGAGGCAGGAGCTGAAACAGGCCATGGAGGAATGCTGCTTACTAGCTTGCTCCTTTGGCCCATGCTCAGCCTGCTTTTTTATACAACACAGGACAATTTGTCTGGGGAGGCACCACCCACAGTGGACTGGGCTCTTCCACATTATTCAGTAATCAAGAAAATGTCCCACAGACATGAGCACAGGCCAGTCCAATGGAGGCAGTTCCCCCAAGTGATGCTCCCTTTCCTGAGGTGTGTCAAGTTGACAACTAAAGCTATCCAGCACAACTGACCCTTTGTCAATTTGACAGGCAAACACATTGCTATTAAACCACAATCTTTCCATTTCTTGTCCCCAAGATATGATGTTAACATTAATATCACAACATAAGACAGTACAACTTTAAAATACCACAATATTTAGAAAATCCAAACATGTAAAAGTTCATAGTCTCTTTTAAAAGTCTTTTAACTGTGGGCACCTGTAAAATCCAAAATAAGTACTCTCTTATTTCAAAAAGGAAGAATTGGGCACACATAAGCAAAACCAAAGTTCAGCGAAGTAGTTCAAGGCCGGACATCTAGATTTCATTCACAGTCTTCTGGGCTCTGAAGGGTTTCAGCAGCTCCCCTTCTGACTCTGTGGTCCACAGTACACACAGCTCGACTCACAGACCCAGGCCAGCTCCATTCCACACCTGCTGGTGCCCTCCCTGGTGGTTGTCTCTTGGTCCTGTCACCTCCAAAAAGCTGGGGTCTCCACTGAGACTGAGGCTGCACCTTCACTGGCCTCTCAGGGTACAAAGCCTCAGATTCTCTCCATGAGAATTCTGGGAGCCTTTACTACAACTGAAGCTGCACTTTCATCAATGGCCTTTCCTGGCCTCTCAGGGTGCCAAGCCTCAGCTGTTCTCTGTGACCCCTTCACACTTTCAACACCAGAACCATGCAGGAGACTCTTTCACATTACCAAATCCTGCTTCCAGCTTGAGATGGAGGCTCAGTCCCCACTCTGGACCACAGCTTCTGTGTACTGACCCTGAGGAAATACTTCTCAGAAGATTTCACCTCAATGATGCTCATCTTTTGTTATAGCTGATTTTTCAGCCCCAGCTAACCAGCATCAATTATCCCAGTAAAGCAAAGGTTTTACTTCAGGTTCTGGTCTCTTTTTAATCACAGCCAATTCTTCAGCCCCAGCTGACCAGAACCCACAGATTCTTAATCCAAGATATCACACAAACAGCACTGATAGTCTCCACTTCTCTAGACCACCATTGTCTGCAACTCTTTCAGCACAACTGTTCCAAGCTCCACAACAACAAACTCACACTCAAACTCAACACTTTTCCAGCCCAAAGTTCCAAAGGCTTTCACAATCCTCCCCAAAACACCAAGATCTGTCTGACACAGCAATACCCCACCCTGTGGTGACAATTTTTGTTCTAGTTTGTCTCTCCATTGCTGTGACAAAATACTCTAACCAAGACCAACTTGGGGAAGAAAGGATTTATTAGACTTACATTTCCTGGTTCATAATTTATCAGAGAGCTCAAAGTAGGAACTCGGGGCAGGAACCTGGAGGCAGGAGAGCTGAAGCACAGGCCGTGGAGGAAAGCTGCTTCTGTAAAGGTGGTGGGGTGGGGAAGGGGGATGGAAACCACCCATAGTGGGCTGGGCTCTCCCACATCACTCAACAATCAAGAAAAGGCCCCACAAACATGGCTTCAGGCCTGTCCAATGGAGACATTTCCCCAATTAAGGCTCCCTCTACCCAGGTGTGTCAAGTAGACAACCAAAGCCATCCAGCACAAAGACCTATATATAAGAACTGAAATTATAAAACTCAGAAAATGTAAAAGAAAAGTTTTATAAATTGGATTTGGCAATAATTAGTTGAATATGGTACCAAAAGCATATGAAAAAAAAACTATCAAAGTTTAAGACTTTCACTATCATAAGAGTGAAAAGGCACCCCACATAATGAGAAAAATATTTGCAAATATTCCTCCTCTCCTGTGCTCTTCCCGCCCAGCTCTCCTGTCTGCTGTGCTCCTCACATCACAGTTTTAGCTTTTCCTCTCGTTTTCCTCCCTCCCTCTTCTCTCCTGTTCTCTTTTCCTCTTTCCTAATGAGGGGCATGAGGGAAAGAACTGTAAAGGGGAAAACAAAGAGAAAAGGGAAGGAAGAAAGAAAATACTGAGAAAAAAATACACACTAACTTTCAGAAAGAAACAGGTAAAAATTTAGGGTGAAGCCTTAAGCTAAACTTAAAATGTACTATTTTAAAATTAAAATTATATGTTGTGGGTTGAGAGCTAGGTGACTTTCTATTATTTTATTTGAAATATTTCATAATTTTTAAAGATCCCAAATTTAGCACTTGTAAACGTTGTATGAGAAAGCATTGTATTTATTCATATTTAAGAGAAAGGATAATTCCAAATTTGGGGAAACAGTTACAAGAGGAGGGAAATATGAAAAGTTAGTTGGAAAAAACGGTGTGCAGAGGCTGGAGAGATGGCTCAGCGGTTTAAGAGCACTGACTGCTCTTGCAGAGAACCAGGGTTGGATTCCCAGCACCCACATGGCAGCTAACAACTGTCTGCAACTCCAGCTCCAGGGGATCCAACACCTTCTTCTGACTTCCACAGGCATTGCACAACACAGGCACACTTACACACATGCAGGCAATACACTCATACACTTTTAAAAATAAATAAAAATTAAAAGAAAAAATAATCTGCAGCAAATAGGACAACATAAAACCTAGGAAAACATCCTTGACTACACAAGATGAAATAAACAAAAAAAAATTAAATTTCCAATCAAAATAGCATTTTAAAAAGTAACATTAGGGCCCAAGGGATGGCTGTGCTGGTAAAGCACCTATTTGATATTAAAACAAAGTACCATTTTATAACTAATTTAGGAAATGACTGAAAATAACCAAGTCAGTGAAAATATTAAAAAAATGACACGTATACAGTTATTTGCTTGGTTTTCCAGTGGTTTAAAAGAGTAATTGCTGCATTTCAAGTATTTTTAAAAAGTCGTACTTTTATCATTCTACTTCTGAATATTTTGTTAAGGAACTAATTATGAAGGTGGAAAAGTATATCTCTGTTAGTCCTTGTCATGTAATTTTTCATGTACATTAAAAGCACTTAATTGCCTAAGAAGGGAAGGGTTATTCACTTATTGGAGTTTTACAGTCATTTCTAATGACAAGCATAAAATCTGCATAACAAGGAAATAGATGATGTTAATAGAAAAAAAATGATGGAGAGGATCCACAAAAATCTTTGTAAGAGAAAAAAATCTGAGTCTGTACTAGGGTGAATATGTCACCCGAATCTCATTATAGACTGCTCTGGGCTTCCCAGTCCTGTGATCACCCTGAAAAGAATTCAGAGACAGGCGGATGTAGTGAAGATGTGCAGTTCTCAGCCTATGCTCAAGGGGTAGGATGGCTTCATATCTCTAAAATCTCTAGAACAGAGAGCTTTTCCAAACTCCGTTTTCCTACTTAGGTGATTGACAAGCTCATTTAGACGACTCTCTAAGGAGGGGTGATGGTAAGTGCTCGTCCTGCATCAAGTCTGCTGCTACCAATTCATGAACTTCTAGGCAGTTCAGCAGCTACATTTCCTCCCAAGGCCAGAGGCATGTCGCAGGCCCCATTCTTGTGACCAGTCCTTAGAGCCCTGTAGCCCTTGGTGGGTCCCAGCCCTAAGGCCATCAAATTCTACTAATATCCAACTACCTACTGAACAAGGACACCAAGACGTTCCTTTGGAAGCAAAATTTGGCATAGGGTAAGAAAGAAAGAGAGAGGGAGGGAGGGAGGGAGGGAGGGAAGGAGAAAAGGATAAGAAAATAAAAAGAAAAGAAAAACCTCTCAATAACACTCAGGATGTATTTTTTAAAGGCAGAA